CGATTTTGTTTTATTATCAATTTCATATTTTGTAAATCTTTAACGAATTTTTGAGTAACAAATTCAATGATTTAAAAGCGAGCAATGGTAACACTCTACGGGGGGGGGGAACCTTTTTATCTCCAGCGCGCGGAATTGCGTATCGGAAATTTTAAAGATGTGCTCATTTCAAAATTATTTTGCGATATTGCTGTTGAACTGAATTTTATGTTTTAAGTGCGAAGAACGTGATATTTAATAAATAAAGGTAACACACAAAACGTTAAAAAAAAACGCCCCTTTAGACGTAATTTAAAATCTGAAATATTTCAGATTTTTTTTTTTTAATTTTATCTCTTTGATTTTATCGCATCATTTTGAATAGTTTAATTCTTTTAGAACTGTGGTTTTGGCAACAGTTATTCATTCAATGCTTTGTATATTGGACTGCTGACTGTTGAAAATATGAGACACCACGTAAAATGCTGCTTTTTTTGTTTTGATTTTTGGACACGCACATCGCAATCTTCTTATTCTGACGCGCATGTGTCTGGCGAGCACCCCAACAGAAAGAATTTCCTTTTTTCTTTCCTCTCTATCTTTATTAGGTGATGGCAAAGAGGTTGGTATATTTTGAATTATGTCATTCACAAAGCACAATTTTGATTGGTTATTGCTTTCTGATCACAGTTTCATTTTTTTAGAAATGTGGTTTTGGCAACAGTGTTTCATTCATTGCTTTGGATACTGGACTGCTGACTGGTTTCTCTTGATAATATGAGATTTATTGATTTCATTTTATTTTTTTTATTGTGTTATAATAATATAATTTTAATTATATAAAGTGTTTTGCATGATTTTTTTTAGGAAACAAGTTCTTAACTTCCTTTATACCATTTGAATACCAAGGACTTTGCAGCGGGAAGTCGGTTAATATATTTATTAGGATAATTTTATTTTTTTTATATTGTGTTATAATATATATAATTTTAATTATATAAAGTGTTTTGCATGATTTTTTTAAGAAACAAAGTTCTTAACTTCCTTTATACCATTTGAATACCAAGGACTTTGCCGCGGGAAGTCGGTTAATATATTTATTAGGATAATTAATATTTGTATTAAGGGATATTCCTTATTTCATTTTAATTTTGTTATATGTAATACATTTTTTTTTAATTTGTGGTGGTTGTTTTTTTTATGAAGTTGTTGTAAAATTGTGCGCAGTTTTTAAATTTAACGTTTGGTGTTCCCTTTGGGCATTTTTCAGGTTCATTTAAAAACCAGACGAAAGCTGGTCGCGTAGCTGCTAGTTTACTATATTCTTTTGTATATTCTAATGCGCATAATCTTAGTACCATTTAGTGTAAACATGTAACCTGCAGCGTTATCGTTGCCTGCTTTGAGATGAACAATGCAAGTACAATTGCAAATATTACAGTAGCCTTTGCTCTCCTACTTGCCTTCTTACCAGACGTTCTCCCACTCGTCAGTGGTGTACGTGGGGCAAAAGCGACTATCCTGTGGTAATGGGCGGTGCTCCCGTTCTCCATCAACAGTCAAAAGTATTATTCCATCCGTGTTTAGGTAAAATATTTTTAATCTAGATGATCTCCTTTTAAAAATATTATAAAAACTGAAGCATTTGCAGATATCTATAAATATTTTTATCTTTATTGCCGCTACATAACATATACATTCTACGTAGTTTATATTCTATATGCATCGAAAATAAGCATTACCTAGTCGGTAAATTAAATCGAAAATTTAGAAAATACTGAATTATATAATATGACAAAGAGCATTAAGACCACCTATCTAAGATAAGGGAGAATTTCATGGATGATTATCAAAACAAAAATGAGCCATAGAGACTTGGTGAGCAAGTTTATTGCGCATTTTATGTTTCTTTAAATCTCTTTGTTATGCCACCAGTACTAAATGGTAAATGGTTTAGTAATGGAGTGCGTAAGCATATGCCCTGCACAAGTGGTCAGCTTGTCGCAGGACCCCCAGTGTTTAGTCCCCAATTGAACTTGGTACTCGTTCTATCAACCTAAGGGATGGAAATCAAGGGATGAAAGGATGAATCGACCTTGCCCAGGCCGGAGATCTAACCCGGAACTGTGGTGCTTCTGCGCGATGCGCTAGCCACTGCGCCGCCGGGCCTTCTGTGTTTTGTTATTTCTCCTTAAAATATAGGCAAAGTATAAAATCTTTAAATGTAAGTACAACTAACTAAACACATTTGGGCCAACTCATTTGTTTTTCGCTTTAAGTAAAAAAAGGAATTTACAGTTTAAATCGTTTAAATATTTTCAAAGGTTTAAAATAAATGTAACTTGCATGGCGTTTACCGAATAGGTTAGTTATTGTTCCAAATTATTTCTGAAATCAACTACCCTAAGTGTACTTTTCACATACATTGGTTATTTTCATACATGTTGGAGTAATCAAGGTTTTAGTTAATCAAATTAACCATACTCTCGATTTAAAATCTGTCTTTTTTTTAAACAGTAACAAATTATAAGTACAGTGACCTGACACATTTCGGGTGCTCGTTAATTATCCGATAGAATTTTGCACTGAATTCATGAAAGGCCTTATACTTTGATTTTAACTTCAACATTTTAAATGATATAATTAATTACATTTTTCCTCCTAGGGATTTGAAATAATAGCATGGCTAATTTATATAGCTCTATTACAAATGAGATTTAAGAATGGAAATTTCACGCTAAAAATATGGAATATTTTACGACTTCAATGAATATCTGGTACAAGTAACATTGTGATGATAAATCAAAACACAGGATACTACATAAGCTAATATTTACTTAAGGTCGGAATTCTAATTATCACATTTCATTAATAAGAATTTGTGTGATAATAATTCTTCCATTATTGTTAAAGATGATTCCATTCTTTAACATGCACTGCTCATTAATTATACCATTCTGTAATAGATACACTTTCAATTTCTTTGTATTGTATTTTTATCAATTTTATATTTTATTATTGGTATTATTGTCTACCTATTTTATAGAGTTTCATTAGTGTTTCTGCTACTTAACATCTGTAAGCCACAAAAATAACAATTTTCTCTTGATATTTAGCTATTTTCATCATTCTTTCTAATTAGCAAAATCTTTTCGTAGAATCATCTCTTTAGTCGTTCACTGCAGATGGTTTTGGTGATCATCAATGCTATAAAAACATCTTTGTGTAAAACGAATGTAAAATGAAAGAGTGTTTTGAAAACCTATAATCTGATGAATATTTATTTTACAATTTTAAGGTAATTTAAAATAGTCTTTCTTACAGTCTGCGATATTCTATTTTCGTTTACCCATTACATAATTTTTATGCTAATCGCTGTTCTTCAAATCCCGATTAAGTTGCTCTTTAAATATTATTATATTCCATTGATTGTTAAAATACTATTTATCGTACATAATTACTTTACATCAATTTTATATTGTTTTTCAACGGTACTCTTTTGCGTTAATATCAGACACATTACACTTGGTATATATTTCATATTTACTTACATTAAAATATCTGACGCAGAACAGCCAAACTAAAGCTACGCAAGTAATAAAATGTAAACTTAAAGTCACTTTTCCCTCTCTATTACATGTTATTAATTGAACTTTCAAAATGTGCTTCCTTTTATTACCGTAAACCTTCCAGCGCATATACATGGCAACTTGCTAAGATGTTATCTGCTTAAAGTATTTCAATATATAATGTTAAGCAATAGTATATGCAATAAAAAGTATTGTCACTCAAATTCATTTCAATCTTTAATGAGAAACTAAGCTATCGTTTTAGCAACTTTTCAAACGTCATTTTTATTTTTACTTCCATGTACAAAGTAAAGGAAGCATTCTAATCGCGAAAAATTTCGGGTACTATATTTAAGTAAAAGTAGTCATTTTGACCGCTCTGGAATACATCTGAACTATTTTTACGTGATATATGTATGTATAGACAGAACAAAGATTTCTTTTTCCGAAAACGGACTAAAAAATCCATTTAAAATGGATTCAGTTTTGTTTCGTGATGTCTGTACGTACGTACGTATGTATGTATCTCGAATAACTCAAAACCAAGAAGCTTCAGAACGTAAAATTATGTATATAGGACTGCTATAACATTCAGTTGTGCACCTCCCTTTTTCGTTTCAATAGCCCTTACCAAAAGTATACATATGCTTTGACTCCAATTTACGTTTAACTTTAGATGCTTTATATGCTTAACTTTAGATGCCCGGTAGCTTTAGATATATATATATATATATACCCATTCTCGGTTACTTGGCTCCGTGAGGTCAGTTTTTTTATTCTTATATGTTGGTAAATTGTGCGTTTTTCGCTTTAAAAGTGATTGAATTATATTGTTCTTATGTTCCGGTTAAGCTTTTTATGCCTTTAGTTTATGAATGCAGTAGTTGTAGAATTATCAACAATTTAAAAATTGTTTCAGTGCGACTAAGGCCTAACGGAGCAGCAATTTGTTTACATTTAAAACTTGGCAGAATAGTGCATTAAATCAGTTTCTGCACTTTCAGTTCTTTTGCAGAGTGGGACCAAATGCTTTCTTGCCCGCTGGCAGCATTGTTTTTTTTTTTTTTTTTTTTTTTTTTTTTTTTTTTTCGTAGAAACTCTAATTTTACTTGTAAAAATTGTTTTTTTTTTTTAGCTGTCTTAACTTTATCTGGTGTTTTACGTTTTCCTATATTTTTCAATTTTTTATGAAGGTGTTTTGAAGTTTTAATGCATTTTTGTCTTGCTTCGAAGTGAGAACTGAATTAATTGAATGAGCAATGTATCTCTAATGAAATTAGAGGAAATAAGTTTAAATGAAATGCAGTAAAAAATTTATGTATTTTAACAGGCCGTACAAAGAAATCATGTGATGTCGACATTTTAGTTTGAAATCCTTAGCAGATATTTAACACAATAACACAGTTTATGAAATAGAATATCATACACAATTCTTTTTCGTTTTTCTTTCAGATCCACCTGTTGTTATACCCCAGTCTGCTGCTCAAATTTCCCCTTGGACACTTCGATTAATTCTCTTGGTGTGCTTTCATCTCATACTTTACCAGTAACAGATATTCCGCCATTTGTCTCGCTACCTAAGGTGCCTGATGACTTCGAAGTTGCTTCAAGAAGCTACTGACTGCTCAACTGGGAGTTGCAGAGAAAAGTGAAATAACAATGCTTACGAGTAGAACTGCTGCTGATATGCTGAAATAAATTTCAGTAACTACAGTTAATCAGCATGTGCAAGCCTTAGTAAAGAACTGGGACATATAGATCTTAAAGTATCCAGATACTGTTTTCTTGCTTTTTGGACTCTATTTTAAGGCGGGCATATAACGTCAGTTTTCTTTATACCTCAGATGGAAAAAGGAATTTTATTTTTTCTATTTCATTCATTCGTACTTTGTATTATAATATTTATTTAACTAGTTATTTTTATTGCAAAAGTGCATTTAGCTTCGATTGCAGAGCTAGAAATCTAAGGTAAAGTTTGGAATTTAAAGCCAAGGACAGTAGCTAAATAAAATTTTACTGTCAGTTCATATTTGATATTTTATTTTAAATCATGCAAGTTTCGTAGAAAGGTTTATTGGTTAAGAAATAATTTAACAGCTCTTATGCAGGCTGTAAAGTTTAAAATTGTGGAATGTAATTTATTTACGTCAGTATGTTCAAGAAGTATTTTAAGACATTGAAATTAAGATATATGTATAAGTTATATAGAAAACGGACTCTGAAATGGTATAGTAAGTGATAAATGTTCAATTTTTATCAAGTAAAAAACACCGTATTCGCTTCAATAGTACCATCAAATATGGTTCAATATATATTTTACTAAAACAAAGCATTTTATAAATTTTTGGACAGAAATTTAGTACATTAAATAGTTAATTTGACAAGTCAACCTGAAATTTATCAGCCATTTATTTTCTTTACCTTCATGTTCTTGCAGAAATGAAAACTCGACTGTAATGCATCTGTTGTTTGTAAGCAAAATAAAGTTCATTTTAGGTGCTCGTTGTCATTTTAATCCATTATTTATGTAGAAGTCAAGTAACTGTATGTTAATTCGAGCCAAAATCTCCATCCAACTACACCACCTATGCAAACAATTTAATCTCTCGGAGCCGATCTTCAATAGAAAAGGATATTTACGAATCAACAGGTAGTTTCCATATGCGTTTCAATCATGCGTACGAAAACCTCATATGATTCACGCTTCTTTTGTTTACAAATGTCGTCCTGATGGTACAGTGGTTAGGATAGCCTACTGCGATACCGAAGGGCCCGGATTCGAATCCCGAAGGAGGTATGGATGCTTGTAAATGTATGGTGTTCGTGCGGCATGGAGGCACTCTAAATATACGGCGAGCCGAAAGTCTAAGAAGTTAATAGTAGGGGAAGAGGGGCGGCGACCTTTGGACCCGTCCCCCCTCCCGGAGTACTCTGCTTCAAAATTGGGGTCGGAAATGAGCGAAGTCGCATTGTCACCTGTACGGTGCCCAAGGCTTCGCGAAAGACAGGCGCAATCTAGCTCTCCTTGCCACGATGAATTTTGTGGGCTTGTTCTGATGTCACTGTCAGGCAAGTGAGATAAGTGACAACACAGCAACATGTTTGCAGGTAATTACTCGCACATTTTATTAAAACAAACATATCTGGTTAAGGAAGAAATAAGTATCCAGCTCCATTTTATAGAGGCAAAAAAAAGGTTTTCAAAAACAGTATCACTCTACAAATTTTCTAGTGCCTTAAATTAAGCATCAAAAATTAATTTTTTTATTGCAAAGAAAAAGTCATTACAGAAGATGCAAAAGATTTACTAATTTTACTACTCTAGTTTTACTAATTACTTAATTACCAAAATTTAATAATTACTTATTACATTAGTTTACAAATTACACTAGTTTTACAAATTACCAAAAATTCAGATATTTATATGTATAGCCCCAGTCAAACAAAATGTCTCAGTGATTTCCCATTCCCTCTTTGAAAAAAATGAAAGTGTCTTTTTTCTTTTTTTTTTTTTTTTTCTGAAAGTAGTTTAATAGATTCAGAAAACATTATGGTGCATCTGATATGAATTTTCCATCAAAATACATTTTCTTAAAATTATTACAGCAGCAGCAATGTGCATAATCCGGTATATTAGTAATTTGCATAACAATCGTTTTAGGATTAAAACTTGTATTAATTTCTTCTGCGTTTCTTTTCTTTCATATATCAACTGTAAAACAGAATAACTTTTTTTTCACTTGTTTCCCTTATACTAAAAAACGTAGTTCATATTTCTGTAGTTATGCGTGTAATAAACAGTTCTCATCAATATACTTTATCTGCAAGGATTAATCAAAAGTATCCGTGAAACATTCTTTAATTTTTAACGTTTTCCCCAACCTCTTTAGTATGTAAAAATTGCTTAAAATCTTAAATAAGTTATAAATCAGGTTTTTGTTCTTGTTAGCTCTTTATCTAATGTCTAATTCTCTTTCGAGTGCATTTATCATTTCAATATTTTCTTCATTTTAAATTCTTTTTGAGATCAGATATAAGCACTCGAGAGCTACCTGTCTAGGTGGAGGTTGCCTTCGAGAGGTCTTTCTAGTGACTTATTTTAAAGAAATGTGAAACACTGAAATAATTTCTATAAGAGAGTTAAAAAAATCTTATCGTTACATCGGGAATGCTGTTTTCTACATTTCTTACTAAAAGTCAGCATTTAAATCAGGAAATTTCTGTTGTATTTAAATCAATGAAATTCCATTATTTTCCTGCTTTCAGTATCCCCATGTGTATATTACTGGCTTACTTCTCGTATACATGCACAGTATACTCTTACAGTAGGTGTGGCAGAATTCATAGCGTAATTGATAAAAGTCATGCCATAATCGAACAAATACTTTTTATTTACTATTCTCTATGTGAAATAGCATTTTCAGAAATGCTTTTTATTAACTAAGATTTGAATATTAGCTCTTTATAAGCTTATATTTGAATACCCATCTCAGAAATTCTGCGTTTCTTTACATTACTTTCTCTGCAGTTTCTCTACAATACACATTTCCTGCACTACTCTGCGTTTCTCTGCAGTACACATTTTCCTAAACTGCTCTGAAATCTCTTCAGTATTTTTTAATAACATATCGCCAAGGTTATTAGTGATGGCAGCTCTAATTCTGTACTTCAGTGCTAAATCTATGGAACATTTTCGAGTTCTTCTTGCTTGAGCTGCCCATCCCCATCGAGAAATCAGCACGTATTAAACTGAGAAAATAGAATAGTCAGCACAACGTAACGAGAAATTAATCGCTGCAAAAATTCTGTTGCAAAAATACCATGCATATTTTGTCCGTCTCTCAGAGAAGGAAAATATTTCGTCTCGACGCTTCGGTTTATTTGGAACCAGAAGTCAACCATAATATCAACTTTCAGCATCTGTAACAGAGAAAGCAAAGAGTCTTTCAATATCCTTAAATGATGTTCATTGCGGACACTTTCAACCACGCCCTCATTCGTCAGCTTAATGGGGTCGCTATTTGATAATCATCATATTTTAATACTGATTCATAAATTTAACTACTATTTGAAATACAGAATAAAAAATAAAAGGAATTTGTTCGCTTGTGTTAGGGGTTTTTGACTATGCTAAGACTTCTGCCGTATCTTATATAATAATAAGATGAGAACGTGCACAGTAAATATGCGTTGCGTTTTGTGTTCATAAATTTCAAGTATGGATAAATTCAAAAACAATTTAATAATTCACATAAAGTCATAAATATTTTATTCAATAATTTATGACATTATATGACATAGTTCATTTGCAACTGGGGTCTTCCTGCTAAGATGAAACACGAGTCACAACCTCGTGTTTCAAGATCCGTAGTGTTCTTCTATTTATTATTTAAAGTGATATCAAAAATCACTTTGATATAAATATTTAACAAATATTTTATTGCAGATATAATAAACTTGAATATTCCTCTTCCGCTCAAATCTAGGAGCTGTTTTTGTGTTTTTGGAGTGAATGATTTGGTTTACTTAATTATGGCAAAGCACACTAGGGCTATCTGCCTGAGGGATGCCTTCGTTGAGGACTTTCTAAGAGAAACTGACTCGTCTACACGTTACACATGGGGAGACCGCGAAAACGTCCATGCAGCCAGTCCGTTCGCTGGATTCGAACCTCGGACCGAACTACCCGTCTTCAGCGTCTTTACCGCTCGGCCGCTGGTGTGCATTTGGAGTGAAGGACTTATAATTTTTTTTCAATTATATCTCAAACAACTCTTCTTCATTGGACAATACAAGCTGATATTTTTATAATTAAAAAAATCTGATGCGAACACGACATGACTTCCTTATAATGTTTATTAAACTATACACATTTTTAAATGCACTTCATTTAAACGTATTTCCACGAATTATTCTAACTTAATTAACCGATTCGTTAAAGAAGATGAAAAATGATATCAAAAATTGCAAATTTTGAAATTACCTATGATAGTCAATTTTTATCGTACGGGAATCTAACTCCTATTATTTTATTTTTTTCTAACGAGTGTAAAACGTCCCCAAATATAAGCGTAGGAACGGGAAATCACGTTAAAAGTTAGATTTCATTATTTGTCTTTTTTTTTTAAATTTGACATTGTCGCAAAGTGATTATTTGTCATTTAAAATATTTCTGTAACTAGAAATATGACTATGACCAACGATTGTGAAAATAAAGTACAGGTAAGCACTTTTAAGCGAGGTAAAAGGATGTATATATATATACGTTTGGTAACGCCGATACAGATACAACAGGGAAGAGCATAACTAAATGCTATATCAGTTTCTATGTACAAAATTTTAACATTCTACGGTTAATCATCTTTGAGTTATACGGGATACATATATATACATGCGTACATACAGACGTCACAAAGATAATCCTTTTTACTTCCTTGTACGAAGTAAAAAGGAAGTATTGTAATCGCGAAAAGTTTGAGGCAGCATATTTCAACGAAAATATCCATTTTGACCGCTATCGAATGCAATTTAACAATGTTTTTGCGTGATATCTGTTCGTAAGGACAGAATAAAATACTCTTTTCCTTCAAAATATTATAAAACTGCTTTAAAATTAATTCTGAAGAGAATTTTTCGTGGCGTCTGTACGAACGTATGTACGTACGTGCGTGCGTACGTACGTATCTCGCATAACTCAAAAACGAGTAGCCTCAGAACGTTGAAATTTTGTACATACGACTACTATAACATGTAGATGTGCACCTCGTATTTTGGTTGCAATCGGCCGCACCAAATGTGTATAAATATATTTATATATATATATCCACTCTGTTACCCGTCTCAGTGATCTCAGTTCCTTTAATGTTGGTAAATTGTACATTTTTTGCTTTAAAAATGATTGAATTATGTTGTTTTTATCTTCCGGTTAAGGATTTTATGCCTTTAGTAAATCTGTGTGCAATATTTTTTGAATTATCAGCAATTTTAAAGTTGTTTAATTGCCGCTAAGCCTTTTTTAATGGCGGCCATTGATGTTTACATTTGAAACAGGAGAATAGTGGATTTGTTGCCGATCTAGAGAAACTTAGCTTCGCAACAACAAAGATAACGCCTTCATTTATTATTTAAATCATGCTTAATCCTTTCTGGAATTTTCTCGAGGAAATAAGCGTTTGAGATTTACTTCGTAATTTTTAATATAGATATTTTGAGTTTTTATGTATTTTTGCCTTCTCGCGAAGTGAGAACTGAATTAATAGAATGAGAAATACTCAATCGTCTGTGAAAAACTGTTTCTTTTTTGTTTTGTTTGCTTAATTTCTTTTATACATCATTCTAACTTTATTATTGTATTTGAATAGAACATGTGGCAACGATTAGATAATTCTATTCTTTAAATGATATAAATTTTGTGCATTATGAGTTATAATATGAACGAAATGTATACGTTAACTGTTATATAATTATTAGATTATATAACAGTTAACTTAGTTTCC